CTTCCCCAATAGATGAATTGGAGTCCAAGTCGAGCATTTCTGCTCAGAGAAGCAGCAACTCTGATGGTGTGCTCCAAGTAGTCGACCACGTCCAAGTTCCAGAGGAAGAGCGAGAATTCGCGTTAAATAGCGTTGTGCCGGAAGTTAAGGCGGCTACGTCGAAAGTGAAGGTGGTTCCAAAAAGCATCTGGGCTCGATTCAAGGCTATTCCACAACGTTGGATCGCAAAACTCAAATTTGATTGGGCAGCGCTCTACCTTTTTCGTGTTCGTCAAGAGCAGGCGATGTTGATGGGATACACTCCTGGTTACATGGCGTACATTTTGACAAAAGCTGATCCTGATCTCACAATAACAAAAAAACTTGCAGCAAGTGGAGAATTGAAAGAGTCGAAACTTTACAAGCAGTTCGTCAGCTTCAACAACGATTACAAAGAAGCAATGGAAGCTGATGATCGCTTCGCACTGGTGAATCAAAGAGTGGAAGAAAAGAAGATGAAATTGTCATGGTTTAGTCGCTTTCGCGCTGAAGTTGCATTGAATAAAGCAAGGCGCCTCATCAGAAAAGGTCTTTCGGCTAAAGAATTGCTCGCTCTGAACATATCGCCTTACTTGTACTTAAAATATCTGGTGAAGAGATTTGGCGATATTTCGAAAGTTCCTGATAAGGAGTTCCAGGAGTGGAAATATTATAGATCCCTCTATGAAGAGAAGTTTCCTATTCCGGAACTATTGGTCGGATAGTTGGGTTGTCGATATCTTTCTTGCAATATATTGTCTTTTAAGTTGTTTAGTTCTCTGTGTCCTTGTAATACATGTATTTTTCTTTTGGAGGTGCTTAATTCAGATATGACTGTACATCTACTTATCCGAACCATTTATTATTGGACTACGACCAATCAACTCTTTATAAGCATTCGACAGATAAAGCGGCTGTCCATCGGTAGAGGACGCGTTCATCGATCTTGACTTGGGACATATAATCACAGCGATCGTACCGAAAGCTCAGATTTTGTGGGCATCACTTTGCATTTAGGAGAAACTCAAGCAAGTTTTAAGAGCAATGCGTATGACTTTAACAGCCTTTGTCTATGAGAATTGACGTGCACGCTCGATATTTCTTGGTTATTAACATCTTTAGAGATGGAGGGTGGGTAAGGAATTCCACTGCGATTGCAGCAACAACAAAAAGTGCCGCATTCAAGACAATAAACCACACCAGAACGAAGATTTGTGAAGCAGCTGATCACAATAACATTTAACTGCAAAACAAGGTTGCAATTTTATGTTGATTATTCATCTCTATGGCGTATAGCTAAATGTATAGGTTTTCCTAATATAATAGTAAAACCTAATTAAAATGGATGAAGCAGGGAAGGGGAACACCGGACGACGCCGAGGGCGTATCCCCAGTAATCTCAATGAGACTTAAATCTTTATAGAGAGGAGACGGCGAAGCCGTATGTTATCTGCAAGACGCAGGGCGTCTAGAGTGTGTCTCACTACTAGCAGTCCCGCCATGTAGTGGCTAACTGTTAAGGTGTAGCCACACCATTGTGTGGTCACACCATCTTGTGTGACCCACCCCGTCATACCAGGGTACGTGTAAATCTTTTACATTTACTGACTTCAGCCGATTTTATTATCCTCGTGGTTTAACATATGACCGGATACGTACTGTTATATTATGTATACAAGTAACACTTCCGTGCAATTGTGAAATGTGCCTATTCTTATGTTGTCGACAATTGTACAAAGTCAAAGCACACTTTTGTAATTTTTTTTAAATACAGAGTTGTTAATTTAACTCCATTGCATTTGGAAGCACTTGTAGTTAAATCGACGACTGAGTCGTAAATGGTCTGTATCTTCTGCGAAATTGAAACAAAAAGAATCTAATTACCTACGCTTGGTTAGCTTATGTTTCGTCAATTCTAGAAACTGGCTGTACAAGGGCCAGAAGCGATAACAATTTGTCTGAAGCATCTCACCGACTATGAGTATGCGCTTCCTGGAACGCCTATCGGGCGTGAGTTTAAGCCATATAGCACCCACAATGTAGCCGCTAATGGTGAAAGACCAGTCTTCAGAGACTTAGACGGGGGTAACTTATGCTTCTGGATGAGAGACATTGAGATAGCTTGACCAAGCTCCAGATGAAGCAACAGCGCGTCAACATGCGTTTTCAAGATCGCTCGCGGTGATGAGCACTATATTGCTACCTTTTTTTGAAAATCATACCAAGCACGGGATATTGTGGTCGGCAGGTGATCGCACCGCCTATTCAGGCGTACCGAGTGCGTTTCAACTTTATGTCCATCTGTCAAGCGAGACAGGAAGTTGAGAACTATGTCCAGGAGCTGGAAAAAGTCCATCCACACGAGGACGGTAGACGATATTTCAAAGGCGGGAACACCTTCGATGCTAGTAGACGGTCTCCAAACAGGTGTCACTTGCCTTCGCATTTGCATCCATCTACCTCCCTTGTAAGAGCGGTGAGTGTCGCACGAGATACCGAATACATCTGTCATGCTGCGAGAGTTGGTGAGGTCACCAAGGGTGGAAAATGTACTAGCGCGCGAGAAGCGATGGAACTCAGCTATATGGAATGAAACTAAGAGATCATTTAAGCGCAAAAGAGCTCCATGGTTGCTGTCGAAACATCTGCGGCAGTATCAAAGATTTGAGCCTCGTCCGACGAGCCCCTCGCAAAAATGACGGGTTTCAACAGGCATAGGGTGGCCTACAAGAACAGAACCAGTGTATATTGTACCTCTTCAGGGTCGAGGTCAACGTGTGTTGAGCTTCAGAAGGTGGTTCTTTCAAAGCGAGGTGGGTATAGTCAAGGAATGCTGGTAATTACTGACAAAATCCCAGGCTTCAGGAATGTCGTGTAATTACGAAGGGCGTGTGATTGTCAAAACCAGTAGGTGTTATGGCGAGCCACAAAACACAAAACCCCTCTGACAGAAAGCAAACGCGCTGTTAACATGGAAGTGAAGCTAATATAGCTCCGTTGCAGCAATGATCTCTTCTGGATTATCGAGAAAAGATATTGTTACAATCGGAAAACAGAAGCGGCAGTGAACCACGGTTGGGTGAGACGAAGACAAGCGATCAAATGTTGCGGTCCGTAAAAAGATTTTCTGTTCAGCAAGGAATGAACGTTGGTATATTGTGATCTCCAGATTGAAGTAGATAATAGATCGCAGCTGTAAGTTGTGGTCGTTGCTTGAGCCAGTTGAGCTGAAGATTGCGCGGCCATCTGCGGAGACGGGCCGGAATCTAAGGCTAACGAGAATGATTTATCCTTGTCATGATGTATTGATACTACTGACTCAGTACTACCCTAAGATGTACGCACCGTACGGAGCAGGGAAGCTCCATAATTTTGTGGCGAGATCGAGTATTAACTTGCGAGCGAAATGACGTAGTCCAAAGCATTATAGGTTATAGCTCACTAACGCTTAGAAAACTCATTGAGCTTTTCAGAAAATTTCTAGAAGATATCTGCAAAAATTTGCACGACCATAAGGCCGCTGAAGTAGTAAGTATGGTG